TTCAAATTGGTATTTTTGTTTTCCTTGGGTAAATACTCAGAAGTGAAATTACCAAATCATAGGTATTTCCATTTTTAATTTTTTGAGGAACCTCCATAATGTTTTCCACAGTGGCTACACCAATTTGCATTCCCACCAACAGTGCATGAGGGTTCTCTTTGTATCCTTTCTTTCCAACAATTATTATTTCTTATTTTTTTAATACTTAAAATTTTTTTTAATGTTTTTTAAATTATTTTTATTTTATTTTTTTATGTTTTATTTTATATAAAATAAAACATAAGAGAGACAGAGCACGAACAGGAGAGGGGCAGAGAGGGAAACACAGAACCCAAAGCAGGCTCCAGGCTCTGAGCTGTCAGCACAGAGCCCGATGCAGGGCTTGAACTCACAAGCAGTGAGATCATGATCTGAGCCGAAGTTGGATGCTCAACCAACTGGGCCACCCAGGTGCCCCAGAAATTTTTTTTATGTTTATTTATTTTTGAGAGACAAAGAGACAGAGCACAAGTAGGGGAGGGGAAGAGAGAGGGGGGGACACAGAATCTGAAGCAGGCTCAAAGCTCTGAGCTGTCAGCACAGAGCCCGGCACAGGGCTTCAACCCACAAATTGTGAGATCATGACCTGAGCCAAAGTTGGATGCTTAACCAACTGAGCCACCCAGGTGCCCCTAATATTTCTTATCTTTTTGATAATAGCCATTCTGACTGGTGATGATATCTCACTATGGTTCTGATTTGCATTTCCCTGATGATTAGTAATGTTGAGTATCTTTTCATGTGTCTGTTGGACATCTGTACATCTTCTTTGGAAAATGTCTATTCATGTCTATGCCCATTGTTTCATTGGATTATTTGTCTTTTGGTGTTGAGTTGAATGAGTTCTTTATATATTTTTGATATTTACCCTTTACCAGATATTTTGCAAATATCTTCTCCCATTCAGTATGTTGCTTTTTGTTTTGTTGATGGTGTCCTTCACTGTGAAAAAGCTTTTTAGTTTGGTGTAGTCCTAATTGCTTATTTTTGCATTTGTTGCCCTTGCCTGAGGAGACAGATCTAAAAAAATATTGCTAAAACCAGTGTCCAAGAGTTTACTGCCTATGTTTTCTTTCAGGAGTTTCATGGTTTCAGGCCTTACACCTAGGTCTTTAATCCATTTTGAGTTTGTTTTTGTATATGGTGTAAGAAGGTGGTCCAGTTTTATTCTTTTGTGTGTAGCTGTCCAGTTTTCCCAACACCATTTATTGAAGAGGTTATTTTTTTCTCCATTGTATATTCTTGTCTCCTCTGTTAAAGATTAAGTGACCATACAAGCGTGGGTTTATTTCTAGGCTTTCTATTCTGTTCTGGTGATCTGTGTGCCTATTTTTGTGCCAGTACCATACTGTTTTGATTATTATTGCTTTGTAGTATAGTTTGAAACCTGGGCTTGTGATACCTCCAACTTTGTTCTTCCTTCTCAAGATTGCTTTGGCTATTAAGGGTCTTTTGTGGTTCCATACAAATGTTAGGATTATCTGTCCTCATTCTGTGAAAAATGATATTGGTATTTTGATAGTGGCATTGAATCTGTAGATTTGGGTAGCATGGATATTTTATCAATATTAATTTTTCCAATCAATGAGCATGGTATATTTTTCCATTGATTTGTGTCATCTTAAATTTCTTCCATCAATGTCTTACAGTTTTCAGAGTACAGGTCTTCTATCTCATTAGTCAAATTTATGACTAGATATTTTATTCCTTTTTTTGGTATTTTATTCTTTTTAATACAATTATAATTTGATAAGTTTTGCTGTATGTATACACCAAGATAATGAATGTATCTGTCACTCCCAAAAATTTCTTTGTGCCTCTTTGCAATCATTCTCTCCTACCCCTCCCTGCCATGCTGTCCTTTTACCCCTATTCTCAGGCATCCACTGATCTGCCTTCTGTCATTATAGATCATTTCCTAGAGTTTTATATAAAAGGAATCATAAACGGCATTATACAGTTTGTGAAAGAGTGCTATTTTAAAAGCTGAACATGAAAGAAAACAAAATGTTTTAGCTGTTAAATGTAAATGTATAGCAACATTATATTTTTTAAACTTCTAACTAGTTCTATTTGTTTATTTTATCATCAAAGGACTGTTCCTTGCACATGGTAAAATATTTAGATAACCTGAAAATATGAACAAGGAAATGGAGGTTTCTCTACTACCTTCAACCCCCAAACCTCTAGTCCCTGAGTCCTCCTCTCAAAAGACAACTATGATTACAAGTTTCTTGTATATCCTTCTAGAAATAGTTTATGCATATACAGTTGTCTAGACTCATCAACAAAATAGAACATGTGTATCTTCTGTTCTGCAACTTACTTTTCTTTTTCATATAACATATTTTTAAATTGTTCCTTATGAGTACATAGACTATATCTCACTATTCCATGGCTGCATACTGATCCATTGTGTGGACTTCTTTATTCATCCCTCTATCAAAGGACATTTAAATTATTCTCCACCATTCCCCTTTGAATTTCAACACATGTAAACAATGCTGTAGTGAACTTAAACCTTTGAGTACTCATGTAATTATATCTGCAGGCTCAATTCCTACAAGTAGGATTAGTAGGTCAACTAATGTGTTTTTTAAATCTTGATGAATAGAAGCAGACTGTCTTCCAAAGGAGTTGTGCCTATTTTCTTCTTTCATATACTTTTTCTTTTTTGTTTTGTAAGTAATCTCTACACCCAACATGGGGCTTGAACCCATGACACCCAGTGAGCCAGCCAGCCATCCCAAAGTTGTGCCTATTTTCACTTCCACCACCCTTGTATTACATGCTCAGAATAGACCTCATACTTTCATCAATACTGTGCATTATTGGACTCTGATCTTTGTCAGTCTGATTGGTGAAGACTAGCACCTAGCTTCAACAGCACTTTTTTTTTTTTTTTTTTTTGTCATAGTGATACTTTGTTTTTAAATTTTTAATTGAGGGGCACCTGGGTGGCTCAGTCGGTTAAGCGTCCGACTTCAGCTCAGGTCACGATCTCATGGTCCATGAGTTCGAGCCCCACATTGGGCTCTGTGCTGACAGCTCAGAGTCTGCAGCCTGTCAGGATTCTGGGCGTTCCTCTCTCTCTGACCCTCCCCTGTTCATGCTCTGTCTCTCTCTGTCTCAAAAATAAATAAAACATTAAAAAAATTTTTTAAAAAATAAATTTTTAATTGAAATATATTTGACATATAATATATACATTTAAGGTACACAACATGTTAATCTGACACATTTATATAATATATGATTGCCATTGTAGCACTAATTACATAATTATCCTTTCGTTTTAGTAGTTGGAATAATTAAATTTTGGTTTTTTAGCAAGTTTGATTATAATACAGTATTGTTGTCTATATTCACTATACTGTGCATTAGATCTCTAGGGCATATTCACTACTTGCTGTAAGTTTGTACCCTTAAGCAGCATCTGTCCTGTTCCCCCCATCCCTTGGTGACCACCATTTCATTCTCTGTTTTTACAAGTTTGGGTTTTGGGGAGCAAGGGAGGGGCAGAGGGAGAGAGAGAGAGAGAGAATCTTAAAGGCTCCACACACAGCATGGAGCTCAATGTAGGGCTCAATCTCATGAACCATGAGATCATGACCTGAGCCAAAATCAAGAGTTGGACGCTTAACCAACTGAGCCACCCAGGCGCTTCTGGGACATTCTTTAATACAGTTGAGCATCTTTTCTTTCGTTTATGAATCATTGATATTTTTTGCAGTTACCTCTCTCTATATAAATCAATTTTATGAATCAGTCATTTATATGCTACTGGAAAATTTTGGTCAAACCTTGTAATGTTCCCTCCAGGATAGTGGTGGTCAGGACCTCAAGGGATAGGGCAGAAAAGCTAATCTGCCAGTGTATCCTCTCTTTCCAGAGTTCCTCTGAGGATTCCTGGGGAGTCCAGCCAGAAAAGTATACAGGCAAACCTTGTTTTATTTGGCTTCACTTTATTGCCTTTTGCAGATACTGCATTTTTTTAATAAATTGAAGGTTTTTGGCAACCCTGCATCTAACAAGTTTATTGGTGCCATTTTTCTAACAGCATTTGCTCACTTCACATCTCTGGGTCATATTTTGGAACAATTTTCTCAATGTTTCAAACTTTATTATTATTGTATTTGTTATGGTGATTTGTGATCAGTAATCACAACTTGCTGAAAGCTCAGATGATTCTTAGCATTTTTTATCAATAAAGTGTCTTTCATTAAGATATGCACATCGTTTTCTTAGACATAATACTATTATTGCACACTTAATAGACCACAGTATAGTATAAACGTAACTTTTATTGTACTTGGGAACCCCAAAATTCTCTTGGCTTGCGTTATTGCCATATTTGCTTTATTGTGATGGTCTGGAACCAAACCTACAGTATCTCTCAAGTATGCCTGTATTACAGTCTTTGTGATTGTGTACATAACATTCTTTCTGGCTTGCAAAACTGATTTTGATAGTGTTCTGAAGTATTCAACTCAAAGGCAATAAAAGTTTTCCTATCTTTCCTCCTAAATTATGAAGCTTAATTATGGTGGATATAAATATAATGTCTTTGTGAGAGGCAAAGCCCTAGGGACACACTTAGAGAATTAGCTTTTTCTGGTTACTATCAAAATTTGTATCTTGCTTCCTAATTAAACTAAAGAGGAAATTTTTAAAAACTAGGGATGAATAGAGGAAAAGTGGTAGGAGTAGCAATAATACATCTTTCAGACTTATGATCTAACTGGAAAACTTCATGAAGTGTTGTAAGCTGGAGCAGTTTAGCTAGGAAAGATGCCTTGCACAATATAAGAGAGTAGAAAAGTCCTTTTAGAAGCATTGCTTTCAGGAAACTTTGCAGAAGGCTGATGATCTGAACACGGGCTTTCAAAGTGTGAATGGGACCATGTCTTGTCCTATAGTAGGCACTGATCTGGTGAATATGTGGTATTTCTGGTTGACAGGTGTAGTGGTGTTGAACACTTTATTTTGGAAGTTATCGGACGCCTCCCTGACATGGAAATGGTGATCAATGTACGAGATTATCCTCAGGTTCCTAAATGGATGGAGCCTGCCATTCCAGTCTTCTCCTTCAGTAAGGTCAGTATAGGGAGAGATGTATGGGGAGATGGGAGGTGTTCCTCTAGAGTATGAGTAGGAGATGATTGTCCTATGACAGAATCTGCTAGGTAATGGTGAGGGTGACGCCTGAGGTCCAGGAATTGGCCTGTGTCCCTCTTAGCTTCACAGTGGCTGAACAATAAGACTGAGGAAATGGGTAAAAAGATTGCTTAAGTGTCTATAGGTCTAGGGATGAAGGGGAGAGAATAATGGACGCCTAAAGAACTGATAGGACATTGAAGGAAAGGTTTAGAGATCCTACAGAACATAGGGAGAGAGTGGCTCAAAATAGCTCATGGGCTTGGAGTTAGAGAACACCTTCATTCAAAAACTATTTGTTGAACTCCCATATGTGTGTCTGTGTGTGTGTGTGTGTAGTCCTATCTGTCAGTGTATCCCAGGGGCCCAGCATGGCTAACAGTGAAGCTGAAGGTGGTGGATAACTCCACACAGTTTGTGCTGAAGCAGTACATTGAGGGGATAGGTCTGGGATATCCAAGAGGAATATGTGAGAGGGTGAGCTTTGAGTCTAGTTATGGAGGAATAGGAGTACTAGTTCACACCTGTGGACTTGAAGAATTTGAGATAGTTAATATCTTCTCAGTGCCCAGGTTGTTGCAAATGTGTATTGGAAGGCATGGGCCTTGGTTCCCTTGAGACTAGGTATGGCCACATTTAGGGGTGGGGTGGGAGGGCTAGAAGAGAATGGGTGGAAGATTCTATGGGGGAAGGGAGGGTTTAGGAAAACCCGATGGACTTTGAGAAAAGGAGCACCATCTCTGATGTGGTTTCTCCAAAGAGGGACCTTTTATCCCCACTTTTTCTTTATCACAGTTTACTTTCTCTGTAGACTTGTGTATTTACTGTGTTGCAAATGGGCTGAGGCCACATTTATGTTGCATTTCCCATGATTTAGCCTCATTTCTCAAAAGTGCTTGGTTTTCTTGTTTGTCATGAAACCCTCCCAGAAGAACAGATAGAAGCTCCCATGTAAGTCAGTAAGGACTTTATGCTTGTTATCTATTTGTTGTTTCTGTGTATGGTAAAGTATAACAATCAGTATACTTTCTTTTCATCTTCTCTTTTTGTTTCTAAGCCAGTGACTTCTAATTCCCAAGAGAAAGCTTTTAGTCTTTCAACTTTATAGTAATTGTACAGCTTCTATTGAGCAGCTGTTATGTCTGAGCTGCTTTATGAATCACATACCATTTTTCAAAAGTATTTGAGAAAGGCAAACAGCATATTGCATGTGTAATTCCAGTGAAACTACTGAAGAGTTAGAGGTTTATCAGGCCAGAGTTTTAACAGAAGTAATCATAAAAAGAGAACAAATGATTTAAAACTTTTTTCAAAAGATGTGGGATAATATCCCTTTCTCCCATTCTGCCCATCAGCACTTCTGGTCCTTATCAACAAATAATCAATAATTTATTGACCAACCAGGGCGAGCTCAACAGTACCACAGTATTAGATAACACTAATGAACACTTACTGAGTACTTACTATGTACCAAACACTGGTCTAAGTTTTTCACATGTACTAACTCATTTAGTAAGCCCATTAGATAGGTAACATTATTGGTATTATTTCTCCCATCATAAAGATAAAGCAGGCATAGAAAAATTAAGTAACTTGCCTAGAGTTGGAAAGAAGTAGAGTCAGCATTTTGAGTCAGCATTCAAACCCAGATGATCTGTTTCAAGAGCCCCTACCATTTTAACCATTTAATTGTGATGCTTGCTCTCAAAAGATCCATCTAGGAAATAATCAGGAACGGGTAAGACAGTATATACTCCAAATGTAATAGCAGTTAAAAGATAAAAGAGCTGTGTGATGATTCAGAGTTAGGTATTTTGTTTCCTTAAACTAAAAACCCTAACAAATAGAACTTTGGGTAACTGGAAAAGTTGACCTTTAATGAGATTTTAAATTCTGGGATTCAGTGAGCCCATGATTTTTAACCCACGGTCATTTTTCTCTTTTAATGTCTAGAGTCCAGACTTTGCAGACAAAGGAAAATATATTTTTTGCAATTTAATACTAGAGCAAGACTTTTGTCCAGATACTGTGGCATGACTGTAGTTTAATTCTTCTCTCTCTGTTCTGAGACTGATGTAGAACAACCTTTCTGTTTCTGTTGAAGACATCAGAGTACCATGATATCATGTATCCTGCTTGGACATTTTGGGAAGGGGGGCCTGCTGTTTGGCCAATTTATCCTACAGGTCTTGGACGGTGGGACCTCTTCAGAGAAGATCTGGTAAGGTAGGTCCTTTAGAGAGGTTTTATTTGTCCTTCTTTGTAGGTCTTCTTGAAATAAACTAATGTTTAAGTTAAAAACAAAAGAAAAACTATAGCATAAGCAATTTTGTGTGTGTATAAAATATTTACCCATCCATAGGAAAAGAGCAGAGCCTACCCTAAAGTATCAGTAATGCCTTTGGGGAAAGGAGTATAGGAGCCTTTTCTTTTCTTCTTTAAATTTTTCTGTATTTTTAAGATTCTCCAAATAAGAGTGAATTACTTTCATAATTTGAAAAAAGTGAATGACCATGTTGTGGGGGAGAATAGAAAATTACTAGGAGGAACATAAATGTACTTTATAACTTAGATCTAAGTCCTTAAGGTGGAGATGGGGAGGACATATTGTCCCATAATTATCTCAAGTACAAACTTATTCCAGATTCTCCTGATTCACGACTGAGACATGCTTGGGCTGTTGAGTCTATCTGATGTCATTTCAGAATTTAGATTGTCCATGTCATCCAAGCTATAGGTATTTCTTACCTACCTACATTTTGCATTTATGATTTAAACAACATTGATACCTAATTAGAAAACTTCTAGAAGAAATACAGTCTTTATAGGTCCTCTCTCAGGTCCATTGAGGAAGCAAAAATTTAATTTAACTTCATTTCCACAAATATCTGTCACCTGTACCATGTGTGGCTGGAGATTCAAAGGGGGTGAAAAGAATGTCCCTTTTCTAAAGAAACACATAGGGCTGAAGTCCTCAATGGCGGTTAGAGCCACCAGGTAAAAAATGAGTCTGTTATCTGGTAGGTGTACTTTGAAAATGATTTTGTAAAATACCTTGGTCTCATACTTCACAGAACTAGAACTGGAAATTGTCCTTTCCAACTCTTTACTTCAGGGGTTGAGTGACTTGGTCAACGTCAGGAACCAATCTAGGCCTGAAGTCCTGGTATCCAAGTGCATTATCTTCTCCACATTACCAATTAACCTTACCCATCCTCTCCAGAGGGAAAAATAACAAGTTTTTTTAACCTGTTTTTCTTCAAGTTATTCTTGGCTTTAGTTATCTAATCCTTTTTTTTTTTTTCAGGTACTTGCAAATACACTTTTTACACTCTTCTTTTTTGTAGCTCTTTTTCTACCTGCTATCCATCTACTTTGTTTTTTTCTCTTTCCTTCCTTCCTTCCTTCCTTCCTTCCTTCCTTC